AGTCATTTGATCTCGACTTTCGTTAGATCATCTTTTAACTGGCAACATTGTCCCAATCATTCAACCTCGACTTAGGTCAGATCATTTACTTTCGTTTCGAGGTTTATCCCCAGTCAGTTTTACTCGCTGATTTGAATTGAACAGAGTAGGTGTTTGAGTCTTTGTATCATCTTTGTCTAGCAAAGATATGCAAAGAGGGGTAGTTGTAGACACCCATTTACGTACGGGTCCTATTAGGCTCATCGATGTCTGGACTCGATTGGCCTGTTGACGTCTGGGCTCAATTAGGCCCATTGACATTCAGGCCCGATTAGGTCGATTGACATCTAGACCCAATTAGGCCCGTTTTTGTTTGGGTCAGATTAGGCCCTTCATGCCCAAGTCCACTTAAATAGTTTTTTATAAATTATTATTATCATTGTTATTATTATATTATTATTATTATTATTATTATTATCATTATTATTATTATTAGTATTATTAGTATTATTATTATTAGTATTATTACTTTCCTTTTTATCTTTCTTTTTCTGTGTTTCTTTTCTTTTATTATTATTATTATTATTATTAGCATTAATAATAATAATAATTTTTTTTCTGGTCTTTTTTTCCTTCTTTACTACTTTTCTTTTCTATTTCAATCCACACGTGCACAATGGATGGAATCGAGATTAGAATCTCTTGGTTAAACACAGGATCGAATTATTAAAATTTTTGACCAAAAATTACGCTGGATAGAATGCAATTCTAGGATTTAAGCATGGGATTGATTCTGTTCGTTTCCTAAAATCTTCCTAAGCCTACCTATAAATTGGACAAATTTTACAAAAAAAGGACAGACAAAACACAAGGGAAAATTAAGAGGAAATTAATTGGAGAATTCTGGCAGTAAGGGTTTCTGAGATTTGGAAAAAAGGGTTTTGGAGTTAAGTCATAGTTCTGAGTGTGGATTCAGGTTTCTGGAGGTGAATTTAGGGTTGCAGAAGGTTTGGGGAAGGTTTGGAGCTATTTGAAATTTTTTTGGATTTTTCTGGATTATTTTAAAATTTTTTGGGTTTTTCTGGGTTTTTTGAAGAATTTTAAATTTTTCGATGAATTTTCTGGTGATCGGTTCAAGTTTCCAGTGAGATTCTGATGAAATTTCCAGAATTCGACGGGCTTTCTAGAAAATCGTTGGGTTTTTTAGTTTTCGATTGAATTTTTTAACGAAGTTTCCAAAAATCAGTGGGATTTTTAGTTTTCGATTGAACTTTTCTACGGGTTCTAGGGGAAGTTTTAGAGAGAAAAGAGAGCATCTGAAGGAAAACGCTAAAACTTGACATTTATATTGCAGCAGAACGACAACGTTTTGGATAAGCCAGGATCCGCGCGTAGACCCAGTGACTTATATGTTGATCTACCCCTTGACCTAACCCAACCGTAGGTTTTTCTTTTTTCATTTTATTTTTATTTTATTTTATTTTTAACCTATTTTTATTATTTTCTGGTTTTATTCTTTTTTTTTTTTAAAGAGAGCTATTTTTGCCACTTTTATTTCTAAAAGAGAGAAAATAAAAAAATAAAAAAAGAAAGAGAAAAAAAAATTTTTTTAAAAATGATAAATAAAAAAAATCCTTCCAAAAAATATATTTTCAAATAAATAAAAATAATTTTTATCTTCTAAACTATTGGAGGATTATTTTGAAGTGAGCCCTACCAAACTATTGGGAGGTTACACTAATTTTGTTTTTAAAATAAAAGTTAATAAATCTGATGACGGAGTCTCTTCAGAGTGAGACACTAGTATTTATGAATACTCCTGAGGGGAGAGAATTATCTTAGATTGCTATCAAACTATCGGAATAATTTTTAGAGTTAATTTTCAATATTAAAAATTTGGTAAATTATAAAAATGATCAAAGCTTAGATAATTTGAAATCAAACGGGTACTATCATTTAGATGGGCGTTGTGGGGGTGTTATAACATTTCCCATGCGTAACCGACTCTGAACCTAACATTTGTTTTTACAGACCAGAATATGTTTCAGGCGGTTAATCATACCTAACCAAAAAATATTGGTGGTGACTCTCTTTCATCCATGTCTAGTGGTAGGTCCACGGATCTATATGGTATAACATTTTCTATTATATAGATAGGCATTGAACGCTTAAGATCTTTATTTTTTGTTGAGTTTTATTGAATTTTTTATGGAAAAGTGTTACGGTAAATGAAAATGATCACAAAAAAATTATATTGAAGATAATTTATAATTTTTTAAATAACCACGTTGGCATTGCAATATGTCTCTAAAGTAAATTGGCTAAATTCAATATATGTAGATATATTTGCTATATATGTATTTAAATTTGTTATTTATATAGTGTCATTTTTTAAAGTCATATTACATTTATTTAATTAGTGGATTGTATGATAAATATGATTTCTTTTTCATTATATAATTTTCAAAATTGACAAGTGTAATGTTTATAAATAAAAACTTTAATTCATGCCAATCAAATCTTATCTCAAATAATTAAAAAGAGATATTGATATGTTTAGATCTCAAGTTTGAGTTTCATCACGAATTTAATCTACCTTTACCTTTACATTTACGTTGATTTGTTCATTAATTTTTTATATTGGATGTAATAGTTATATCATATATAATAAGAATTTTTTGAATACTAATGAATGGAATCAATTAATCTTATCACATCATAAATACATATTTGTCTTTACTGTAAAGGTTCTCTTTTCATTCCATGATTTTTTGGTCTAACGATGGTTGGGTTATACAATACAATTATTATATACTATAAGATAATCATCTCCTTTACGCATCCAATTTTACGTAGACTAAAAAAAATTTTATCAGTATTAAACCAACCTAATTATTAATTTAACTTATAGAATTATACCTAATTTGCTGCTTGATATAATATTATAATAAGGCTATATATTATAGTGTTTCTTTTATAAGATTATATGTACAAGTAAGAATTACATTCATCCTATGAAACATTAATAAAGTATATGATATAAGTGTTTTAACATTAAAGAAAAATAATAAGAAATTAATTAGGGACTAAATAAATCGGTAAACCAACATAAAATTGTACGAAATTCACACTTAATAAAATTTGAATTTAAAACTTAACTAATTAAAAGTTTCAAGCATTTTTCGTATTTTATTGAGACAAAATCTCATTGACAACATGGCCATATAATAGTATCTGAGAGCTTCCGTGCTTGTTTTTTTCTTTTCATTTTTTTTTTAATCTTAATATAGCGTGCTTCTATTAGTTGCTTATCTTTTTGGGCAAAGTCTAAGTTGGTATTTGATAATTTAATCATTTTTTATAAATAAGGTAACTGCAAGATGTCATATCATTGCATTGTTTTAACATATGATTATATCTATTAGGTAGAGATATTCAATTTAATTGTTTGCGTTATTATAATTATATGATCAAAGTATGACTTTGAAGTTTGAACTATATATATGCTGAATCTGATAAGTATTATATACAGTTGGACTGCTTATATATATTTATATATGTATAGTATTTATACCACCAATTCTATTTAGAGAAGAAAAACAAATAAGTTATTTTATTTAGCAAATCCAAAATTAGCGCATGTTGTATATCCATTTATTTATATTAGTAACTCATGCTACGTAACTTTAAAAAAAATAAATTATTGCTCCTATAGAAAACAAATTAGGAGGCTCTAAGGCCAATAGTCTTTATTCTTTATGATAAATTGTATTAGTATAAGATTTGGACCGTAATTCTTTCAATAGTCTAACATTTTTCCCCTTCAAGAATACTGGCCAGCTAATTCTGAGATTAGTTAATTAGTTATCATGAAGATTAGTTGAAAAAAAAAAACGTAGTTATGAAGATTACTTTGTGATTGCAACACAAACACAATATTGGGAGAATCATTCAAACTTGATGGTCTTTTTTATTTTTTATTTAATTATTAAAAGAGGGTAGTTGCATACTCAAACACGCACATATTTTGGTATTGAATTACAAACCATAATTAAATTAAATTAAACAGTACTATTAAGAAAGTGCTAATCCAAATTCAATTATATATGGAATGGATAACGTCTTAAACTTAACTTCTCCAAGTAATACATTGTTTACTAAAGCTTCTGATTTATACATTTATGTGTGCGAAATTGATATAAATCATTATTTTATATGTTGCTTCATTTTATATCTGATTGAAATTTGGAAATTTTAATCTTACATAAGTGTTATAACTTGAATTAAAATCTCTATCCAAAAATTTTCCCATTTTACCTTTTAGACTCGAGTGAGTTGTTAATTAGTAAGAATTATCCTCTCTTATATATAGTCAAAACTCAAACGATCTCCTTGCAAGCAAAAATAAATATTACTGTACAGCGTACGTATATATAATGATTCTATTAAAAAAGATTAATTACACGATCAAAATTTGGTTAAGAATAATTAACCACATTCTAGAATCACTAGAGTTCCACCACGAATTACATATATAATCGTTCAGTATATACTTAAACAAGAATATATATATATATATATAATATTTATATATATATATATATATATGAAATGGCAAATGTATATATGTTTGTTGAAACAAGAAACAAGAAACAAGAAATGACAAGCCTGTTTTAAAAACTCGAATGAAGTTGTCACTCATAACATGTGGCAGTCATAAGCCTAATTTATAGAAACACACCCCAAATTGAATAAAATGATGAAGGGAAAAAAAGAAAAAAGACAGATTGTTTGTGGTAATGAACATTGACAACAAGCATTTACAAACAATCTGATGCCAAGTAACTAAGGGTAAGAAAATTTTGGAGATAGTCATAACCAGCATCAAAAGATAAAAACAATTTGGAATGAACTGTTAGAAAAGAAAATAAGTAGACCTCTAGTTTTCTGTGTAAGAAGTGGAAAGACAACTCATTCTAAATTGAGCAAACTTCAAAAATTACAGCGACAAAAAGTTTCTAGCAATTAAAAGATGTTCATCTTGGGTAGCTAGCTAGTCTTTGGTTTCAATGGGTAGATAACCAGCCTTAAACAACAGTCAAACCTCAAACGCCAAGGCATTCCTAACAAAAACAACTAGAGATACGTTGTTCATGAATCCAATGACAATTGGTTCCAGTTAGTGGGAATGTTGTTCAAGATCAAGGTTTGTGGGCTGGTAAAGAACGAAAACCAAAAAACCATAGAAATTAACTAACAACATTTTCACCTTGTATTATAAAAAATGCTCGCCGCTTAACGTATAGGAGAGACAATTGATCATTGGAGTATTAGGGTTGCATCGCAACTTATCTAGTATTAGTAATAATTAATATGGCTTGGCTATTTGTCCAGACAGTGGTAATCTGCAAGTTCGATGGGTGTCCTTCAATAGATCATAAAGATGAACAACTTTAACTATGAAAATCTACAAAGAAAAAAAAAAAAGATGGTATGATGCCAAATTACTGTATAAAATAGACAACTATCAGCAAAAATGAAGAAAATCTTTTTTTTTTCTTTGAATTTTGACAACCCGAAAGGGATGATCTAGCATCTAAATCCAATCCGGTGGCTCTCTGCTTCGTTACGTGTCACAAGAGTAAATACAGCATGTGTATGTATGACGTTCCATCGTCATAAAATTGAGATATATAACAGTTTTGGCAAATTGTATACTCTCTCAAAGATTGAATTTTGGTTTCTTTTTCGAGTTCCAGTCTAGCTGTTGCTGAAGTGTTTTTTGCAGCCGAGTGTGATGAATTCTGGGATTTGGTCAGAAGGTAGAAAGAATTCATATCAATGGAGAAGACATGGCACTGTTAACCTTTAATTGATTTATGTAAATGCGCTTATATGCCACTTCCAGAGGAACTCTGTATTGTAGATTGCAAGCTGAGGCCTAATTGAAGATCCAAGGATTTACAGCTTTGCTTTGATGAAGTCAAAGAGGAAGGCTTGATACTAACAGCAGGCCAGTTTTCTCTCGATCTATCAGCTTGTGTTAGCGTGAACATCGATGAATAATCTTGTGGGAAAGGGATCATTTGAGATGGCAGAGCATACCATTTTGATGTCTGAGAGCCGTTAAGATGGGCATTTTGTTCATATTGGTTGAAACTAATTTGAGATTCTTCGTAAATAGTGAACTCAGGAGCACTGTAACAGGGAGAATCATAGTACCATGGAGAGGAGCCTTGGAAGCTGAAACCAAGGCTTTTTTGGAAAGGCTGAAGATAACAGTTGATGCTGGCTCTCTTGGCTTGAAGCTGCAACCTTTTTTTCTTCATTCTCTCTTTCTTGTGAGCATTTTGATGACCTCCAAGCGCCTGCGAGTTTGCGAATTCCTTGAAGCAATATTGGCACTCGAATTTCTTGTCATCAGTCTCTCCTGTCGAGCTTTTCTCCTTGAAAGGAGTCTCCCTGGTAGATGAAATTGTGTTTGATGAATTTACACTTTCATCACCTTCAGCACAACCTTTCAGGAAATTCCCATTGTTCTTACTTGGGTTAAGCTCAAACCCAAACAACCTAAGCTTCTTGTCGGCACAGGATCCAGCTTGAGAACAACCATTTGCACCATCACATGTCTGAGAAGCAAGACTATAGGCATCCTTTTCCATCTCTCTTGAAAAACTAGTATAAGAAAATTTTCTTTTCTCTAAATGTACTTATGACTATGAGTTGTTTGGCTTGTCTTCCTTTTTATAGTAATTCTATGGTTTCCAACAATGCAATGCATCAATGGCCAAAAAAAAAATTGCAATGCAATGCAATGCATCTTAAAGAGGAATAGTTTTATAATAATCATGAACAGCATAAGCGTAAACGTGGGTCAATAGAAAAAAAAAAAAAAGGCAGAAAACTAGAAAAGTCGGATCAGATTAGCCGTCTCATGCAATAATATTTGATTTTCCTTTTGTTTATAATTAAATAAATGAACTTGTGTATTTTGTAGTAGATACATTTCAAACTTTCTCAATCAAAGAGGATTCATTATGATTTTTTTAGACGAGGAATTCTATGGTCCGTAACCAATTTTAAATAGATAAAGACGTTAAATTATGGTACCACTTGCACATTTAAAACAAATATTCCATTCGGGAAAAGAGGATTAAAGTTATTATTATACTAATCTCTAATTTACAAAAGTCAAAGAAAAAAGGGGACATAATCTTCCTGGTAGGAAGTGCTTCTAAAGATATATGTATCTCATTAGATAATTAGTGTAATTATTTATATATTTTATGTTTAATATATGTAAAATTTAAAATTTATTATATTATAATTTTTATTGACATGTTAAATACAGAATACATATTTTAGAAGTTATCAAACTCATATATTTTTTTAAAATTTTAAACCATGATTTTTTTATATAATTTTTATATCATTTTAAAAAACAATCCATCTATCCACAGCCCCTATTCTACCTAAATTCCATAATCAAGAAGATTTTTTTATTAAATCAACTAATCAGTCAGTGGATTGATCATGTATATTAATAATCTAATTTACCTCTCCAAGCTTATCATAAAATATAAGAACAGTACTGTAACTTAATTAATTAAAGACTTGTATGAATGGGATGACTTTGGGTATGGGGGTGTGGGTCCATCCACCACAGATCTCCAAATAATGCTTAAACAATGCTGAGTTCTGTAGAAATGAGATTATTCAGCACTTGAATACTTGATGAAGCTTCTCTGCAATTATCCCTCCCCACCCACAAAGGTTTTTTTTTTTAGAAAAAATAAATATATAAAATGGAAAGTAATCTGTCTATCTTGACCATGCATTGCTCTGGGAATGGGATTACAATATTAAGAAAGAGTAGTTACTAAACAAAGGAATATAAAGAAGTGGGCAATGATGTCAGCATATATACTAATCAGGGTCTTCGATGAGATCTGGGCATATCTTTTTTGAGCAGGCAAAGCCTATTTTATACCAAAAGAATATGTTTTCAGGTGAATCAAGTCATTAACTAATATTATTGTATACATAATCAAAGCATTTGTGTTGGACAGTTGTTCTTGTTGGACCCCACTTTTTGTAGCTTTGGGACATGTTAGAAACTGTGTTGGATTGTATTGTTATTTCAATGTCTCAATAGTAGCATGCTATCTCATTGGCAGAAGAAGTCCACCAATAGATCTCTCATGCTAATCAGTTCCCCACTCCTTTATTTTTTATATCCAGCCTATTCAATCAAATTTAGAAGAATTCCAAGTAGGCATTATGTCATTGAGCATTTTGAGAATAAACTGAGGCCATTTTGAAGGAGATTGGATTATGGTGGCTGGGTGGGTGGGTTGGTTTTATTGATTGATTTCAGCTGGTTTCAATTCATTTATCCCTTGCTTTGATAGAGGATCAAAATGTGGCCCCTACCATCAGCCACCATCCAAATTCCTGTTTCCATCCAATCTAATCTTGCTTCTCTTCTGGACAACTCCAAAAGCATTTAAATATATCTTAAAGAAAACCACAAAGAATGCCAAGATTGACTAAGGCAACATGAAAAAATATACTAGTAATCTATAACTTGATTAAGATTTCAGCTACAACAATATTCAAGGGCTCTAAATTCTAATGTGTTTCCACCACTCAATAGAATATTTGATGCAAATCTCACTGCGAATAAAACAAGACAGTTGTAACACTCTTAGACGTCCTTCCCTGATTTTTTTTATCTGATATGCAGGGTTTTCCCACCTGCTCCTGCTACATTTCAAACTCAGGCCTCTGGAATTTGAAATTTTTGTTGCATAATCTTGCAAGAAAAGGTGTTGACTTGGTTATATATTACAAAAAAAATTTTTTACATACTTAGAGTTGTAAGAATAAATTTGATCACTAAAATTAAAAATAGATAATTTTATCAACAAATCACATGAATATTAGTGTTTAACAAGATATAACAACTTCGTTCATTTGTTTATGCACTAATTATGAGATGTTTCAAATAACATAATCCAATTCTACCTAAAAGGAATTTTAATTTAGTTGGGAATTTAAAGATAGAGAAGAGTGTAATGATGAAAAGTGAAAACTCCCCCGTAATGGAAGAAAGAGGGCAAGAGGGAATTGGTCCTACGATGTGCAGTCATGTCATGGTGGAGAAGCAGCTGTTGGAAGGCACTAGGAAATTCATCCAGCTGGTGGAATACTTTGAATAAACATGTAACATGCCAGCCATTTTTTAACTCTAATAATACTTGCTAACTCGGGAAAACATCAAATGACAAGTAAAGACAAAGCGAAAATAATAAACTAATGAAAAAGATACAAGCAAGCATATAACAAAATTAGTTGGGCCTTGATTTGTAAGATTTCTTATGTTTGGTTAGTACGGAAATTTCAAGACATGTTGATCATTTATTTGATATATAAAAATATAAATATTAAAAATGATTGACTTCAATAGTTTTATAAATTTTAAATAATAAATTTATTCTTAAATATATAATTTTTATTAATTAATTAAAGTTTAATTTAAATCATTTAAAATTAAAAATAGAATTTATGTTAAATTAAAATTTTTAAGATTTTAAAATTTTAATTCAAATATGTTAAAACTGATTAAGTAAAATATTCTTAGTAAACTTTTTTATAAAATTTAATTTAAATGAATTTTCATTTTTATTATTAGATTTTTTATAATTAGATTAAAAAAGTGCTAATGTGATTGACTAAAATATCTTAATAAAATTTTAATTTAAAAAATGTTAAAAATGATTGATTAAAATACCATTAGTCATTTTTTATAAATTTTAATTTAAATTCTTTTTTTATTATTATACTGATTTTGTACAATTAGAATGATTTTTTTACATCAAATAAAAGTACAGATAGAACGAGATCAAAATTTAGTATGCATAGGAATAGAACAATTATATGAAGTTTTTTTTAGTTGTTGTATGTCATAACGTCTAGATCCGGGGATCCATCGCTAGACATTGATTTTCAGGGAGTCGCCACCAATCTTTTTTTATCTAGGTGCGATTGGCCACCTAAGGAATCTACCCTTTTAGGGAACACCTAAGCTTAAGGGTCCCTAAAAGAATAGGTTCGGGTCTGCTTAACCAGAACAGAGTTCGGGAGTTCGGTTACGTGTGAGGAAGGTTATAGCACCCTCACAACGCCCATCAAAAGATGGTACCAGCTTGAATTTGTGTTATCCAAAAGCCTTAAAATTTTACCAAGTAGTTAGTTGTTGAAAATTATTCTCAATTGACTCTAATACTTTTAGCAGAAAATTGAGAAAATTCTCTCACCTCAAGAGTATGCAAGAAAAACTACTGTTTCACTTGCAGAGGCTCCGTCGTCGGATTATTTAAAGAAAAATCAAGATCAACCAATTAATTAATTATCGAAAATTATTCTCAATTGACTCTAATACTTTTAGCAGAAAATTGAGAAAATTCCCTCACCTCAGGAGTATGCAAGAAAAACTACTGTTTCACTTGCAGAGGCTCCGTCGTCGGATTAATTAAAGAAAAAAATCAAAATCAGCCAAGTAATTAATTATCGAAAATTATTCTCAATTGACTCTAATACTTTTAGCAGAAAATTGAGAAAATTCCCTCACCTCAGGAGTATGCAAGAAAAACTACTGTTTTTACTTGTAGAGGCTCCGTCGTCGATTAATTAAAGAAAAAAGAAAAAAAATCAAGATCAAAATCAAAGTCAAATAAAAAAAATTCAAAAAATTCAAAAAAAAAAAAAAAAAAAAAAAACCTGGAGCGGCTCGGCTCGGCTCGGCTCAAGGAAGAGAAAACGGCTCGGAGAAGCGGCTCGGGAAGAACGGCTCGGCTCGGCTCGGCTCGGAGGGGGGCTGGGCACGCGCGGGTCAGAATCGGGTCGACGCTCGGGTCGGGTCGGGTTCGGTAAAACGCGCGGATCCTCTGATTAACTTAAAGCCAAAACAACGTTGTTTTGGGAGGGTATAAAAGGCACCTTCCTCCGTTTTTCGGCAGAACGCTCCTCTCCCCTCTCTCTCTTCCTTCCCTTTTCTCTCCCTTCTCTCTAAAAAACCGAAGAACTCCGGTGGAAGATTCACCGGATTCTGGAAATTTTCGCCGGAATCTGGGTTTTTTCGCCGGAAGTTGGCCGGAAATTCACCGGTTTCTGGGATTCTTTGCCGGTTTCTGGGATTCTTCGCCGGAAACTGGGCAGTTCGCCGGAAACTTCAATGTTGGCCGGAATTTTAGCCGGAAACTTCAAGGTTGGCCGGAAAATTCAACCGAAAACTGGAATTTTCCAGAAACTCCCAGAAAAAAAAATCTCGAAAAATCCCCAAAAAAATTTCTGATAATTTCTGGAACTCTCCTAAACCTTTTCCTAGCCTTCTATACTCTTCCCTACGCCTTTGCTTCTCAAATCAGTAGCTCTAGCCTGACTGTTTTCTGTGTCTTCTTGAACTGTTCCAAAGGGTCCTTTATATAGGGTTGATCAGGAGTTTCTGATCAATCCCAACTCCTCCTTGGACGGGGATTCAGTCTTTGAATCCAATTGGACTCTTTAGATTGAATCCCCACTCCCAGTAGGATTCTTCAGCTTCAATCTCAACCTTCCAAAAAAAAAAAAATCAAATAAATATAAAAAATAATAGATAATTAGAACAGATAAATAAAAAGATATTATAGTAAAAAAATATCTGATAATCAGGAAAAAATCAGAACAGATAATTTAAAAAAATAATAATAAAATAAGATAAATTCAAAATATCTTACAAAAATAATAATAATAAT